CTTTCCTGCCTATGCAGGGGGTCGGACTCGATGATCTATTGAGGTCCCTTCCGACCCTAACGTCTATGAATCTATGAATGTACATCAATGTAGTATAACAGAAGATACTAAATGGTACTGGCAAAAATTATTTTATCAAACACAGCTATTGTATTTCTTGCACTATGTGGCAATCCAAGTAAGGCATTTGTTTATGTGCTGAATTGTCCAGGGAAGCTAAAAGCTTGAAAGTAGTTGTACTGTCGTCTCCACAGTTCTATAAATCCCTGATCTTTTTTTGAAAATCCTAGCCTAATATCCCATAGAATTTGAAAGCTCATATGGCTAGCCTATATACATGTAGCTCTTTTTTTTTCATTAGAAAGAACAATTCTGTACTGGAAAGGAAATAGAAGAGAAGCTCTAATGGGACTTCTCCATCTTTAATTTCAAAAGTTTTATCTTTGTTTAGTTTAGGAGCAGCACACACTATAGGTTAATCAGCTATTCTAGAAACAGAAAAGGTTCAGTGAATAAACAGATTTTATAAAGGTTCTCTTCAATTATCTGTTCAAACAAGAAACCTCATTTAGAATTAGAGCATCATTGAATGGGTCAGTTACTTTACTCTCTAACATAATAATTAAAATGGATAATAATTTTGGTAAGCTGCCTTTAGTTTTCTAATGTTTAATTTCTAATTTCTTTGAGATGGAAATATCTCCACTTCTCTAATATGATGAAGCACTGATGTGAACACATTGTCTCTCCATATTCACAAATAAATACTTATTTTGTGACCTAATGAACATATTTGTTCATTGACTTCATACCATGATATAGCTGAAACCATTTAAATTCAAACATTCCCCAAAACAAACAAACCTGCAACAAACATGAGGCCCCCCCACCAAAAAAACCAAACCTCACAAAACAAAAAACAAACCACTAAGAGGCTTAAGCCAGAAGTTTTGTCAATATTAAGAATTAATGAAAACAAGGAGCTATAGTAGAAAGTGTTAGGCAGCCTTAATAATAGGCTGCTGTGCTGTCTGTAATGTTTCTGTTTTTCACTCCTCCTTCTTTTCTACCTTTAAACTCTATTTTATTGTCTTTTCTGAACTTAAGACTCCCTCTGTGTGCCTTTCTCTTTTGTTTCCTTTCCCTAAATCTTTAAGTCAGTCCCTTTGTCTTCTTTTGTTGTGTCATCTTCTCATTGGAGGTGATAATTCATCATTCCTTTTTAAACTGTTTTATCTTTTTCCTCTCTAGCCTTTGAAAGAGTATAATGCCCCTTTCACCAAAAGATATAATCCCAAGCACTTTTTATTGTTCACAGGCTAAAATGTAGATTTAAAAATCAATTTTTGCATCACAGCTATAGAAGAGCATCCCTTGGCATATTAGGGGCTAGGGGAAGAAGAATTTTGGATTTGTATCTCTGAATTGAAAATGGTGCTAATGACTTTGGGTTGAAACCAAAATCAGAGAGGTCCTTTTTTGGCCTTGTTTTGGATCTGGTCAAAGCCTCATGAGAATGGTTGATCTCAGAGTTTTCACCATTCAGAATTCTGAACATTAGCCTTAATTCAGTCTGAAATCTGAGCATTGGCTTAAGGCTATTGTGAATCAATAATCGTGTAATCCTTCTTTAACTATAGCTGCCATTCCTGAAATTACAACTGGTAGAAGTTTTGGTTAAAAGTGATATCATTTGTGATTATTGACCTTAGTAGGTTTAGAAAGGCGAGTTATAATTAACAGACCATTTTCTTCCTAATACAAAAGGCAGTTATCTTTTACTTTGTAGTAAATTTTGCTCCTGTTCCTGTAGTCAAAGAAGATCCTCTTGTGCCAGAACTTTGTGTCAGAACCGACAGGCTAGCTAAGACTACCTAGGGAATATGTCCAGTGTCATGAGGACACATAGGAAACATTTAAAGCAGGGACAGACGTACTGCCTAATGGCAACATTAGCTTTCTTTGGGCAGTAGAAGCTGCTTGATTGTTTTTGGGCTCAATCTGGCTTTGCGCAGCAACTCTGCTGCTCTTTTATGGTTCTTGGGAAGGCAGGACCTTTGCTTAGTACCTGGCTTATTCTATTACTTTAAATGGAAACCAAATGGAAAATTTGCTCATGTGAATTTTCAAGAGAGTGTATTGAGCAAAATGAGCATTGTTTTTTTTTTTTAACTTTTTTTAGCTGCTATCTGTTTAAAATATGTCAGTTCTCTCTCACCTAATAATTGTTCTGACATGTCAAATCTACAAAAGTTTGCCTGACTCATTTGAGCAAGTTGTGTTTGATGAAAAAAAAAAAAAAAAAGAAATGTTAATCTTCTAAACTGTTTTTTAGGAGCGTTATACCTGTCCAAGTCTGACCTTGCATCCTAAAGAATCTACATTTGTCGCTCAAACAAATGGAAACTACATGGCATTGTTTTCTACCCAGAGGCCTTACAGAATCAACAAAAAGAAAAGATATGAAGGGCATAAGGTACTATTCTTTACTTAAACTTATTAGTAGTCAAGCCTATAAGTAACATAATTTGTCTGCTGATACCACTGATTTATAAGCAAAGATATTTACTGACCTGTATCTTCTGTCTTATTTTCTCATATTTTAGTTAATTAAAAACGAGAGGCACTAGGAGTATGATGGAGATTAACATAATTTAAAAGCTTTGTGAATTGTTAATAGCTTTATCAGTTACTGATTGAATAACATTCATGGTTTAAATCTACATTCTGTGTTTTGACAAACACCTGAGGAAATATTTAAGTATATTGGTTAAAAGGGACATAGTTAGAACTTTCTGCATTTTCAGAAATTAAACTTCCCTAGTTAGCACCTTGATTTACAGTCTTCTCCTCAACTCTTACAGGTGGAAGGGTTTGCAGTGGACTGTGAATTTTCTCCAGATGGGGCACTTCTACTGACAGGAAGTTCAGAGGGCAAAGTATTTTTCTATAACTATCACACTGCTAGAATCATTCACACTTTGTCTGCACATGACCAGGCCTGTGTGAGTGCAACATTTCACCCAGTCCTTCCATCACTGCTTGCCACATGTGACTGGGCTGGAGAAATTAAAGTCTGGCAATAACTGCGCTGTGTTCTGTCTGTACTGGATGTATGAATGCCGGTGTTTCACCATCCTTTCATGTTGCGCACATTGATTTCTTTTTCCTGTGAACATCAAGCAATTTGTTGTCATTTTTCATATTCCTTCTAGGATTTCTTGGGTAAGATTTTCAAACTAGATTAGTTCAAGTAACAGTGGGTGCATCTACATGAGATGCTTCAGGCACAGCCAATTAATTCTATTGTGCATTAGTGCGGTGGGCAAGACCCATGCTAATGCGCAGTAGGTTTAGCCTACTGTGTATTAATGTTCAAAGACTGTTCATTTGCAGTCTTTGAACATTAATACAGGTACTAAACTTAATGTACTGTAATTATGGCATATTAATGAATGTATGGACGTGCCCACTGTGTTCTTGAAAATTTCACCTCTAAACCTCTTTTATATTAAACCTAATCTTCTTACTGTGTTCCCAGTTGGGTTAAAAACAGATTTTTTTGTGAATATGAACGTATCAAAAATTTAAAATGAACACTTCACATTAATGTTAGGGTCTGCTGCTTAGAATCTCACTTCCTTGGTGCTCTTGCCTGTATAAACATTGGGGAACCCCAGCAGGGGCAAGTCTCAGGAAAATAGATAATAGTTCAGCTTTTTATAACAGCATCTTCCAGCCCTAATGCAACGGGGAGGAAATTTCAGCTAAAGATTACAGGGAGGGGGCCAGCTCTTCTATAAATAAGTGTTGATTCTTTTAATGTACATCTCACCAGCTACAGGCTTTGGAGAAGATCCTCAGATGGTGTTAAATTGTCATAGCGCCACTGAAGGGAAGTATAATAGTTATGGGCCTATTCAAATCAAGGAAGAAGGTGGCCAATTTGGCAGGCAGATCATGGTGCAAGCCACCATTTTTGCAGGCTTATCACAGCAGGGTCCCCCTATGCCTCTGATTTGCTAAGGGGCTCTGGTAGGCCCACGCCCCACTGCTGATTGGTTAAGTGGTCTGTCTGTCATAAGACCCCACCCCCTCACCGTCAATTGGTGGAGAGGGCTCTGCATCGCGAGGCCCTGCCCCTCACTGATAATTGGTGGAGAGGGGTGGGGCCACAAGACAGGCTGCCTTCAGCCAATCATCAGTGTGGGGTGGGGACGGCAACCATCGTGGTTGCTCCCCTTTGTGCTGACAGCCCCCCTTACCACTTCCTCCTGGCAGGCTGTATGGCTGGGAGGACTGCTGGCTCCCATGGGGGAGCCAGCAATTTATTTTTAGCATGTTTTGTTGCCCCCCACAGATTTTGCAGACATCACCTGATTTCACAATTTCTGTGAAATGTTTAAAATTGCAAATTGAGTAGGTGCCTAGTAATAGTTTGTACCGCCTAAAAGATCTGCCCCAAATACTTTTGCATAGTCGAGAGAGCGAGAGCGCACGCACACATTTATGAGAGGGAGAAAAAGTTCAGCTTAATGCATTCCAGTATCAACTTTGAGATATGCCAACTTTAGAAGTGTACAGCAGTGTAGTAGCTTGAATAAATGGGGGTGACTGGGGCACGAGCCTAGGAGCTGACTTGGGTGGGGGCATAAAAATAGCAGCTGTGGAGCTGCTGGCTCTATTGCTGTGACCACTGTTAGTAGCCTGGCTGCAGCTACTGCCCCATGTACTGCAACCACACAGAGATGGAACTGCCCAGTTATGCCCCTCCACATATGCAGTGTCTATGCAGAAGTTTCGTTTCAGTTTTGATGTTTGTTGAAAGCACGTGCCTTGTGTGTTGGTGCTGACGCTGCGTTTAATGTGTAAGGAGAACTCAAGAGTATCAGTGTTGTGGTTAATTGAATATATCAGAGTGCTCAATCCCTGGCCCATGGGCCAGATCTGGCCACTTGTCATCTTGCCTGCAGGGTTCCCTACCGGTCCATGGGGAGCGTCACAGGCCATGGCTGTGTGGCTAGATCTAGCATGCAGGGCAGCGCAGGACCCAATCCCAGTGCGTGGGGCTAGGCAGGGCAGCACGTGGCCCTGGATGTAGGGACAGGTGGAGGTGGCACAGGGTTCTGGGGCCCTAACCTCTGTACACAGGGTCCCAGGGCCCCATTCTCCACATGTGGGATCACACAGAGCTGTCATAGGGCCCTGGAGCTTTGATTCCAACATGTGGGGCTTGGTGGAGGTGGCATGGGATCCTGGAGCCTCATTCCTGACATGTGGGCCAGCTAGTCCAGATCCATGCATGTAGGCCTGATCCTAGGGCGTGGAGTTTGATCCAGCCTGCAGGTTGGCCCCATACCTTTCATTTCCCTCCTCCAGCCCCTTCTTCCCCCCTGGGACTAAAAGGTTGAGCACCATTGGACTATGTGAACTGAAATGTAATAGACTGTTTTTAACCATGTTAACTGAATGCTTCTTTTTTCTTTTAAATCTTGCCTGAGGCTTTTTTAACTACATACTGCTGTTGTTTTTCATATTTTATGAAATATGTCTTATATTTTGCAGTCCAGTTGTAAATCCATGTACTTTATCATGTATATATGTAAATATGGAATATGCTTGCAATATACCTGAGACCTATCTAAAAAGAAGTAAACATAGATATATGTTCATGGTACTTACATATTTAAAATTAATTTTAAATTATCTGATACAAAGTAAGACTTAGCATATGGTATATTTTTCATTCAAATAGTAAAGCATCTACTTACAAAGCAAAGTTAAAATAAAAGCTTGAGTGCCATGAAATAAAAGCTTGAGTACAGAAAATGAAGAAATTTTATAAATGCCTTGACCACATCCTGTTGAGCTTTAGTACAGTCAAGGTGATCTCAAATGCCTGGAGTCATTAAGCACCAAATAATTCTCATTTTACTCACTGCAGCAAGTGCTACCAAGTGATACTTTTTGCCTGAGCAAGGAAAGCATGATTTAGCTCTGAGAGAATAAATGGGCAGACTTAAATATATTTTATAATAAAGTATCAACAGTATTTTTAGCTGTTCTGCCTTGGGTTGAGTACAGGGTTTCATGTTACAGCTGCAAGAATTTCAGTCATCACTGTGATGTAGAGAAATATGAACACCTCTCTTCATCTATCATTTGTCTTAGGCTTTTATAATATGTCTCATCCCTTTAGAGGTTAATTGAGACAGCAATTTTTGCAGTTCAAACACAGTACCCTATATTCAGACCTTTGTTTACTTTTAAAACAAACTTGTTCGCAATGCCAGTCTCATGACAGCAGTCTCTTCAATTGTTATACTGGAAAATAATCTCTACTTGTGCAGAGTGCCTTTAATTTTTGCAGAGCTTTGCATGAGCATTAAAAGCTATCTGATAACAGACTCATGCATTTAGAGTAGTGGTTTTCAACGTGTGGTTGTGGACCCCTCAGGCTTTCCAGACTATGTCTGAGGGGTCTGTAAAAGATGACTATGATCAGTCAAAAGCATATGAATACCAAGACTTAGAATTCAAATGGGTTTGGACCTCCATTCAAAATTGCGAAAGGGGCCCACGCCTCCATTCAGAATTTTTTAGGGATGTGCAAATGAAAAAAGGTTGAAACCCGCTGATTTAGAGTGAGACTTAGGTTGAATTTAAGCACATAATTACAAAAATATTGTGATCCTGAAAACCTATGCACAGCTATCACCTCAGAGGTACCTAAACACCATTTAAAATTAAAAAGTTCCCTGTGTGCTAAGAGTTGCATCACTGTGTGTGCCCAGAACTACCTCAATGTGAGTGGCTCAGCTCTTAGCTCATACCAAAGTTTGATCAGAAACTAGGAGTTCTCTGTCTAAATTCCCTGGGGAGTTCAATCCATACTTAGCAGATGTGGCCAGTAGTGAGCCAATCCAAAATGCAGTGATGCTGCTTCTTTCAAAACATGATCAGAAGAGGTGCTAGTCATAACCACATTTAGCATAATACAGTATTGGTTACAATACTCATCCAGGAGGTGGGGGACTTTCTAAGCCTTCTTCAACCTGAAATGTTTAAACTTACATCTGTGCCAACTACTTTACTGTACGTAAGATCCGAGAGAGGACACTCCAATCCTCTTCTATTGGAGCTGGGCCACAGAGCAGCAAAGAATTCAAAATTAATTGGTCCAGAGACGGAGCATGTGTGACCATAACTCAGTAACTTGGCACTCACCTGGAAGGTGATCCCAGGTTTCAGTTTCTGTTCCCATGACTGATTATACATTTTATGCAACACAAACAATTGCAATCCCAGAAAATAGTAAAAGTTTTGTTTAAAAGAAATTGAAATATTAAATATATGGAAATACACAACTAAGATACCCAAACAGCTTTTGACCCTGTCCTGGAAACATGCCAGGAAGGGAAAATATGAAAAGACCAATGCATAATTATAGATCAGATTAATCTAATTAGAAATCAGAGACACTAAAACACTTTACTCTCAGGATGATATTGTAATTGCTTAGTGTCTCTGCAGTGAAGGGTTAAGATTGTTGGAACATCCTAACTATGTATATCTGTACCTTAGTATGGTTGTTTAGAATGTAGTTTTAATCTGAGTTTCTTGGATTTGAATTGCTTGGTTTGGGGATAATACATTGTATTTGCATTACTACTTCTCTGCAGAAAGTAAGGACCCAGTATTATGTGAATGTAATTTCTTTTCCTTGCAACAAGTATGATGATTTTGGTTTGTATTTGACAGCTTAGCCTAGGAAAGTATTTAAATAGCATGTGCTCATTTTGCACAGTAAATTGTCTCTTTTATATGATGACAGATCCATAAAGTGTGTATAATATTTAGAAATTCTTTTTCAAGTGTAGCATTATGTTATTCCGCTGATTTTATCTTCCTATCCAAAAATATAACAGTTCATTGCCATTGTTAATGTTCTCAGTTTAAGACAGCTTAAAACGATCCTTTTATGAGAAGGATCCATAAGTAATGATCTGGCAGATGGATATTTGAGTAATCACAAAAAAGTGGAATATATTGCTTTAGCAAACACTTTGTGTTCTGTTTGCTTGCAGTTCATGTACTTCATAGCTTACATTTAGAAATAAACCTGGATCCAGAAGCCCCTGAATTGTTGGATCATTAGAAATTGGAGCTATCATTATAATTTGTTTCCCAGTGACTCCAACAAATGGGTTATAATTTGAATCAAAAGTCTTGAATTTGAGCAAGCCAGGCAACATATTGCAACACTCAATTTTTCAGATTTTTCTCAGTGCCCTGTTGATTTTTTTAGTGCCAGACATTATACAGTAGTCTAGAATTGTAATGTCTGTAGGAAGTCCTTCATTTTCTCTCTCTCTGTCACAGGGGGATGGGCACCTTTAAGCAGAGATGGGCCCAGTCCCACCTGGGACTGTGAACGATCTATGGGATTTAGGGGTTACACAATAGCCTGTGGAGCACTTGGTCTTTACAAAGGCTAACAAGAGTTTAGCTGAGCTGAAGAATTGTGGAAGAAGGTAGACTTGTATAACAGAAAGGTGTAAGAAGCTAGGTACAGGTCTAAAAAGTTGTTCAGCTGCTGAACGCCCCTTGATGTTGGTGAGAATCAAGCACCCAAACAATGTTTTGGATCTGGCTCCTAGCTAGTATGTGACTGTTTGGTGAGTGAGAACTGTACAAAGTAGTTAGGCTCCTTTGGGAGTCCCATGGTCAGAATTGTCCAAGCAGGAAGGTCTGGAAAGGGGAAAGAAAAATCTCTTGGAGTCATTGTCCTTGTGGGGCAGATTTACTATTATTAGGGATCTACTTAAATTGTGTTTTCACTTTTTTCAGGGAGAGCAGGAAATCCCCCACATTTCTGGAAGAGCAGGGAAAATGTCCTTCCCACCTGAAATTGGTGCAAAATTGCCGGGGGGAGGGGGAAAGAAAAAAACCTTACTGGAGGCAAGCAGCAGTACGCAGGGAGAAAAGGAAAGCATGAGAAACCTTTCCCTGCAGCACAGGGGCCCCAGGGAAAGTACAGGGTCTCCCAGCCAAGGTCAATGATTGAGCTAGTCAGCATGCTGATTAGCCCAAGCACTGGGCAGCGCAGGAGCCTGGGAGGATTTTAAGTGATAGGCTGGCTGCTCTACTTAGGATCAGGATGAGTGGAAAGACAGTCCACAAAGCAAAGCAAAGCAAAGCAAAGCAAAGCAAAGCACATTTCTGCTACAGATCATGTGAAGCAGTACCCTGAAGGCACTCTTCATGCAGATAGTGACAAATTATTCTGTTC